TTAAGATTTTAGCTTTCTAGGACTGAACTAGGGGACTTTAGTGGAAGCGTCTTTTCAGGTTTGGTTTCTGCAAAAGTATATTTACATTTATATGTATTCTAACACGAGTGTCTCGATTATATGTCAGAATGTCGTTGTCTTCCCTTCAAGGGCTGTGGCGATAGAGAATCTGTTGCGGTTATTCTTGCCACATCTAGCAATCGTGGATGAGCAACTGTCACATCACCTGCCTAGGCAATGGCTGACCTCATTGAAAATGGAGGTATTTGCTCTCTCCGTTGAATCATTACTATTTCTCCCAGAAAAATATCATGTATTGTATTTGTTTCATAACCTGATGCAAAAGCACAGTTCTTCCTAATGGTTTAACTACACCAAGTGAGTAATTGAAAGGATATGTCCATTCATCTTTCATGAGCTTTGTTATAGGGTTTATTGGTCATTTTTAACAATCTTGAAATCCTGCCTTCATGCAGAAAAGTCAATCTGATAGTAATTTGGAGGATGTCATCACTGTTATTGAAGCTCCACGTCAATCTGACTCGATGATTGAACTTATAAAGAAGCTGAAGCCCCAAGTTGTAGTTACTGGGATGGCGCAATTTGAATCAGTTACTAGCTCTTCTTTTGAGTACCTACTTGACATCACAAGGGAAATTGGATGCCGTCTGTTTTTAGACATATCTGACCAGTTTGAGCTATCCAGCCTGCCCAAATCTAATGGGGTCCTGAAATACCTTGCTGGAGCTCCTCTTCCCTCACATGCAGCTATTGTCTGTGGCTTAGTAAAGAATCAGGTAGGTTTATTTTTTCCAATAACTATATGCTAGTGTATTTCTAAAAGATTTTTAGGTCCTGTTTTATCATTTGTTTCTATGTTACTTGGCTAGTGTAGTTAGCTAGATACATATTTGTAACCTCTTTTGTTTTTCAGGTATATTCTGATCTGGAGGTAGCTTTTGTCATATCAGAAGACGAAACTATTTATAAAGCATTATCCAAAACCATGGAATTATTACAAGGAAATACTGCTCTTATAAGCCAATATTATTATGGCTGTCTTTTCCATGAGCTGCTATCTTTTCAGCTTGCTGATCGACGTCCTCCTGCTGAGGTCAGTAGTTTGGCTTTTTTATGATTGATGGAAAAGGTTCTTCAGCCTTTGCTGCTCAGATTTGTGTACTGCTATCTATTGGATATAAGTTTAGTTTTGATTATAGCATTTTAAGGTTTCATCTCTGGTATAAGATCTAACCTGGATTATCAGAAAATGTAAATAAATCAGGGAAGTGAGGAAAACAGAAAGAAGAGAAGGCCTATTTTTTTTAACTTAAGAGTATCTCGAAGTTACGCTCGTTTTTCTGGGTCGTATTTGTATGTACGGCTGTCCTAGATAATCGTTTACTTGTCTATAATGATTTCCAATATGGGCAGACAGGAAAATGACTGGGAATTTGGCTTTTTTGGCCCCTTTATCCATAATACTCTATAGATAGTTTTGGTGATGATGGAATTTTCTTGCTTTGGAAATGGACTGCATTATGCCAACTAAAACTCCAGATTCCATCAAAACAAGTGCCAAAATGGGGTTGGTTTGAGGTTGTAGAGTTTATGTTGAATCACCATTTGGTAGGGTTTCTAGGACTTGGTTCTCTCTTGTGGGTGGGTGGGAGGGGATGAGGGGCATCGAATCCTAATTCTATTATTAATAAATACTCCTTCCATTTCAATTTACTTGTCTGATTTTTTACTTGGCACGGAGTTTAAGAAAGTAAAGAAGACTTTTGAATATGTAGAATGTATCAAAATATCATTTAATCTTGTGGTCTTTGTGGAAATTTTAAATTAAAGAGTTGTTAGAAAAGAAAAGCAACATTCTTTTTGAAATGGATTAAAAAGGGAAGTAAGACAAACTAATTGAAATGGAGGGAGTAGTAATAAAAGGAATTTACAACACAAGATGATTTAAATCCTGAAAAATGTGCACTTTCTTACTTTTTGATTGCATTGGTCTCTTTGAACTCCTAAATTAGCTGTTTAATGTTTGAGCACTATGTAATAAAAATTACCTTCTACATATTCTTTCAGAGAGAAAACGAGAAGTTGAAAGCACCCAAGATGATTGGCTTTCCTAGCTCTGTCAACTCGGTACTCAATCATGCAGAGTTATCTGTTACTGATTCAGACAATGCTCTGATTCACATGGATGTGGATCAAAGTTTTTTACCTATACCAACTCCTGTCAAGGCAGCCATCTTTGAGAGTTTTGTGAGACAGAACATTGCAGAGTCAGAAATTGATGTCACAGGCAACATCAGACAGCTAATGGAGAGTAGTTATGGTTTCTCAACGAACAGCAAGACAGAATTCATATATGCTGACTGCCCTCTAGCTCTTTTTAGTAAATTGGTACTTTGTTGCATCCATGAAGGTGGGACTCTATGCTTCCCAGCTGGCTCAAACGGTAGTTATGTGTCTGCTGCAAAATTTGTGAAAGCAAATATAGCATATATCCCTACGAATCCAGAGGAAGGGTTCAAATTGACACAGAAAACAGTTGAAAGTTTTTTGAAGACCGTCAACAGACCTTGGATTTTTATTTCTGGACCAACTGTCAATCCTACTGGGCAGCTTTACAGCAATGAGGAGATAAAGAGTATATTGTCTGTATGTTCAAATTTTGGGGCTAGGGTCATAATTGATACTTCATTTTCTGGTGTGGAATTCAACTCCAAGGGGTCGGATGGCTGGAATTTGAAGGACACTCTAGCTCAACTAAGATCTCAGAATCAGTCATTCTGTGTTTCTTTGCTTGGAGGATTGTTTCTGAAGATGCTTACTGCTGGAGTCACATTTGGATTTCTGCTTCTAGACCAGCCTGCGCTAATTGAGGCGTTCCACAGTTTTCCGGGTTTGAGTAAACCTCACAGCACTATCAACTACCAAGTAAAGAAGCTGTTGGAGTCAAGAGAACGAACAGCAGAGCTTTCCAATGCTGTCTCAGAGCATGAAAATATTCTGGCTAGTCGATATAAGCTCTTGAAAAAGGTATCTCTTTTTTCCTACAACGGTTAACTCACATTATCAGATGTTTATTATCACTTCATCTTCTGGTCAGCATTTGAACTTTAGTCATTTGTCATTATGATTACATATATGGCTGCATCGAGTCATCATCTTGACTTAAAAGGCAGTGCACTAGAGTCATTGCTTAGACCATTTTCTCTACATTATGGATTAGATGTTACTTTTAAACTCGTCCAAGAATATGAATTTTTAAAGCAGGTGAGCAAAGCATCTTAGTTATAAAACCATGCGACTGAATTCTAAAATATTTATGTGACGTCTGTTTTCGTATCATTTGAAGAAAATTTAAAGTCGTAGTTAGCCTCCAAATGTATAATTTGTTATAAATAGCTTTCAAGTTGGTAATTCTTGACTATAATTCTTAATACATATTGTTGATTTTTGTGTAACAGACCCTTGAAAGTTGTGGCTGGGACGTGCTTGAAGCTTATTCTGGCGTTTCAGTGGTGGCAAAGCCATCTACCTACCTTGGGAAGACAGTGAAAATTGGCGAAGATTCGTTTTCATGGGAAGGCAAACTTGATGACACAAATATTAGAGAAGCCATGCTTAAGACCACGGGCTTGTGCATCAACAGCTCTACATGGACCGGAATTCCTGGTTACTGTCGCTTCACCATTGCCTTAGAAGATGGCCATTTCGAGCGTGCATTAGCTTGCATTGTCAAATTTAGAGATATGGTCGATAAATGAAATGCAATCAAGTGAAGACTGGTCTACCATGTCTTTCCCTTTTTAATTTTTATTTTTTGTTTTTTTCACAACTTGATTGTTGTGAAATAATCCCCCATCCCTGTGAGCAAGAACACCTTAATACCTGTTTTTGCAACAACACATTTTTTGTTTAATGCATTTATATACAAAAATCTTCGATACTCGATTTGATTCCTTACGTGAAATTTGTGATTGACTGATGACTATAAGTTATATTACATTCGTTCACCACTTAAAAAAACTGTTGTTCTTCTTTCTCTCTCCCCGCCCCCCTCCCCCCCCCCCCCCCCCTTACCAACTTTATTATTTGTGTTGTGTGAGGTATCATAAGTTGTGGGGAAAGAGCTTTGGTTTTGGTGGGATTGAACTTGATAAATAAGTGATACAGTTAACAATTTCAATAATGCTGATATATATAAGTGATACAATTAACAATTTCAATTTGGTGGAGACTCACTATTGGAACTGATCAAACACAATAATGTTAAATCTAACACAACATGTTCTACTTGGAAATAAAAAAGACGAATAAAGTCACTGAGCTTCCGTGGGAAAAGAATGTTTTAAAATCCAACTCAGGATATCTAGTGAATCTCTATACAAAAACCATATTGCCTTTCCAATAATCTTGTTTTAGTAGTAGAAAAATTCGACTACGATCAATACCCAATGATGTGTATCTAGATACATTACACATATATCAACAACAAATAAAAGATCAATTGTGTAAGGGTAAACTACAATAGTTACTCTGATTTCAACTGCAATTGTGTAAGTATAAGCAAATTCAGATTCATGGGTTCAACCTTTTGAGATTTTTATATTGAACTCATTATATTTTAAAGCTATGTCTATTATTTATTACAATTTTTATACATCAATATATGCTCTACATCAAAAGTTAGGAGTTCAATAAAAACCGAAGCAACTATGGTACATCCTCCCTAACAAGAAGTATATACATATTCTGGCCACAAAAAATAACCTAAAAAGGACCAAAGTGCACATAAGAACTTGACGGAAAGAATCATTTTTTATCTAGGAGATTTCTCGTAGCATGGAGTGGATGGACAAGATTACTAGTCCAACGTGTCTAACGCTTGTTCTCATGTTATTTCCACTAATTCTTTCACACAAGTTGTTGGTTAACTTCACTATTCTAAAACATGATAACCTGACGGAAAGAATCATTGTTTGCCCTTTGTTTTTTTTTATTCTTGAATTTTCACAATGGCGCTTCAGCTTCAGCTGCAATCAACTGTGACAAATGGAGTCTTTCAGAACCCTTCTGCAATTAGACCTTTCAGGAATGGAAAAAAAGTTTCTTTTAAAGCACAAGCCACTCCTACAAGAACCCAGGTACACTCTCTGCTGTCAAATCCCATTCTTGATTCTTGATTTTTAAATATTTTTTTTATAATAAATTTGAAGAATGAATCTTGTTGGCTGTTGCAGAGGATAATGGAGGGAATTGCAGTAAGTGGAGAGGTTGGTGGCGCTGGTGGTGCATACTCATATAGTGCATTGAAAAGATTGGACCAGCTATTGTCTAAAATTTGCTCTGCTTCAGCAGGTATATTCAAACAGATACTCACTCCCTTTCAATTTGTTTGCTTGGTTTTGACTTAACATGAAGTGTAAGAAAGTAAAGAATATTTTTGAATATTGTGATCTTAAACTAAATATATTTAGAATGTACCAAAAGAAAATGAACTTTCTTATTGAATGGACAGGAAAGGAAAGTAAGAGAAATAAATTCAAACAAACAGACTACATTTGTGTCCATTACTTGGGCTGTTATAACTATATAGTCTATTTGTTGATAGGGTATTCCTGCACCAAGAATTGATATTCAAAGAACTACACTTGTTCTTACTTGTTATAACTATACTTATTCCATAGTCTATTTGTCTTTAATTTCTTATTTGTAGTTGTTGAAGAACCCCAGAAAGTTGTTTCCTCTGTCCCCGGATCATTCAAAGATTCTGAGCATGTTGGAAATTCGGAGGAGATGTTTGATGTCATCGTTTGTGGAGGTACTTTGGGAATCTTCATTGCCACAGCATTAAGTTCCAAAGGTCTTCGAGTTGGAGTTGTGGAAAAGAATGTTTTAAAAGGGGTATTATATTAAACTCCCCTGCCTTAGTGGGATTCAGTTTTGCTATTCAGAAGTAGTCATCTGCTTAGGAGTCCAATAATGCTTGACTTCTGGGAAATTGATGAACAGAGGGAGCAAGAGTGGAACATATCAAGGAAAGAGCTACTGGAACTTGTTGAAGTTGGCGTTTTAACTGAAGATGACATTGAAGAGGCTACTGCTGCCAGTTTCAACCCTGTATGTTCTTTATCCTAGAATTCGTTCTATATGCCAATGAAGAGTCTTTTATCATCGTCCTGATCCTGAAAGCAATGGTTGCCTTAATTAGTCTTTACTCTTTACAAATAACAAGATCATTTTATAGGTGTTTGAACTGCTCTTGCTTTGTGAATAACTGTGTACCTTGATATTGTCTTAAAATAACACTAAGTCTTGGGCATAAAGTAACCCGAATTCTGGTAATAATGACTTTTCCTATCCGGTGTCTACCTACCACTACTTGTTTGGAAGGCTGATAGAGAACAAATTTTCTTTCTTTTGGCGAATGGACTTGGGATGAGGATATATTGAGCAAAAGAGGCAAAGTTAAACATCTCACCGATAATGTTGCCCAAGTATATAATTTTGAAATGACTTCTGGGATCTGCCTCCTGCTAAGGGTCCTCTACTGTTTTCTAACGCATCGTTACTTTTTCTCTTTGATTTCTGAGTCACTTTGCAGAATAGATGTGGATTTGAAGGGAAGGGAGACATTTGGGTCCAGAGCATTCTCAATCTTGGTGTTTCGTAAGTCTGTTTTCCATACCTTGTCCCCTCTGGAATCTGGGTGCAGCCAAAGTTCATAACTTTAAGTTTTTTGTGTTTGCTACTATAAGAACGTCAAAATCCCTCTTCTTCTTTTTTCTGTTTGGAAACACAATGAGTTATGCAGCTATATTGTTGTCATGGGGGTGCATCCTTCAATATCCAACTATCCAAAACTCTTGAAAGATGTAATAAATACTATTCTTTCACTGAGCAGAAGCAGGATCAGAACAAACTGCTAATTAAGAAGCGAAAAAGGCAGGCCGTACACACAAGAACCTGATAGCATCATACTGATGAAAGCAACCAATTAGGTTTAATTAGCATAATGTTTTGAACCTCAATGGTGGAAAACCACAGATATAGCCTTTTTCTAAAGATATGTAGGCAGTGTATAAGCAAATGTATCAACATAATAGGTCCTGCCTTGCTTAGGTTTCCCACCTCACTTCCCATATTAGGGTCTAAATGGAAGAAAATGGATGGTGATGATTTATTTAACCGACCCCAACTAGCTTGGGCTTACAGAATAGTAATCAATATTATTGTTGTTTTCCATACTCTCCATGCTATGGAAAAGTCAGTTATGTTCAACTATCAATGAAGTGAAGTACTTCTATGCTGCATCTGAACATTATTCAAGTTTTAAATAATTATAGTTTAGGTGGTATTTCACTAACATATATTTTTATTAACTTTTTAAAAGAACGTGGTTCAAGAACTTATTTGTTGCTTATAATTTCTTTGTTTTTGTGAAACCCAGCTCTAAGTCTTAATGTTCTTTTATACTATCTGTTCGCAGGCCAGTAAAGCTTGTGGAGATTGTGAAAGACCGTTTTGATTCCCTTGGAGGTGTCACGTTTGAAGGTTACAGCGTCTCTAACATATCCGTGTATCAGGATGCAGCAGTATGCTTACTTACTCATAAATGTGGCTATTTAAGGATGCACTTTATCACTTAGGCAGCATCCTAGGTTAGGCTAGAAAGCAATGAATTTCTTTATTTGATTTTTAATTTGGGCATTGGCTTTTCCTTTGATTGACTTTATGCTTAACCTCAAATGACCTTTGTTCAATTTGGCCAACCTAACAATGACGAGAATGAGGTTGAAAGGACTGAAATCCTAAACACAATTACACAATATTTCAAATAACAAAATCACAAAAATCTTGAATTCTTCGTAGAGAAAAACTTGGAAGTAGTACTAAAGTCACAAAAGGTTATAAAGATGATCTGAGGGGCGGGATGATATTTGGGTTTCTTTCACTGAAAAGGGTTTTGCTTACCATCAAAAGAATACTGTCAATTATCTTTTTGCTATAATTGAATTCATAGTAGATGAGTAAAGTTCATCCAGATATTGCTTGTAATTTTCTTTTTACAGGTCTTGCAACTAAAGGAGGGAAAGACTTTATTCTCACGTCTTATCATTGATGCAATGGGGAATTTTTCTCCTATTGTAAAGCAGGTGCAGAATCTTTTCTTAAAGCATACAACTATTAACGGTCTCTTTCTGTGAAAAAATGATTTTGGTATCATGCGATGTAAAGGTCAGGAGAGGTAGGTCCCATTTAAGGGCTGGTTATATTACATCACAATGATAGTTGGGTTGGAAGATAGTAATTAAAGATCTCTCTTGTTACATCACTTAATTCCCCCAAAAATATCATGCATCCAAGGATTACTTGGACCTCGTAATCCTTACTCCAACACTTTTGATATAAGTCTTCTCTATTTCACTAACTTAATTCCTCTTTGGATTATTTTATTAGTCCATTTCCTAATATCTTAAACTGGCTCTTATGATTGAAAATTGCTTTAGATTAGATGTGGAAGGAAGCCAGATGGTATGTGCCTTGTGGTTGGAACTTGCTGCCGTGGTTTTAAGGAGAACTCTACAAGTGATGTCATATTTAGCAGTGCTACCGCAAAGGAAGTTGGCCAGTCACTAGTCCAATATTTCTGGGAGGTAAAACGATTTCTTGGAAAGCATGAATTGAATGGCTAAGATGCTTTAAGAAAATCATGCACATCATAGTCTAGAAAACTTTTGTGCTTAGCCAATAACAACATTCCCATGATTATTAGGCATTTCCTGCTGGCTCGGGTCCCATAGACCGAACCACTTATATGTTCACTTATGTTGATCCTCAACCCGGATCTCCACAGCTGGAAGAGTTACTAGAAGATTACTGGGATTTGATGCCCAAGTATCAGGTAACCTTTGGAGTATGCTATTTAGGGCTTATGTTTGGCATACTTCTGTTTTCCCTATTTTCTTCTGGGAGCTGTATCTTGTCTTTGCTCCTTGCTATTGATCTTATTTGGAGGTCCCTGAAAGATCTGAAGCCAGTTAAAAACATCTGCCAAGGGACTCATGTTATTGCTTTTGTTGTTCGGGTTAACTTTGTAGGTCCGGTGCTTTAGATTATTAACAGCAACTGCTATCTTGTTGTATAAAATTGTCATTTCTCCTAAGTAATCTATTCAATCTCTAATTTCTTCCATTTTAATTTATAGGGCGTGTCTTTCGACGATCTGGAAATCTTGAGGATAATATTTGGCATTTTCCCAACATATAGAGACAGGTAATCATTAACTTTAAGGTTTGTGCTTAGATCTTGATTTATATTCATCAGATGCTATTGTTGTTTCACTTGCCACCTAACTTCATTGTTTTTTTCCATGGATAATTGAATAACTGAAGCATCCTTAAATATATATATAACACCTTGCATTTGATACATGACTTTTTGTATATTATAAGTCGAGTTATTATCAAAAACTTCTCATTTTTCTTTTTACTATTTCTGATAATTCTGTCCCTTTCATTTTGATGACAGTCCATTGCCAGCAGCATTTGATCGTATTTTACAGGTATTTCATCAACCCCTTTAAAGGCATGAATCATTGCAGTTACATATCAATAGAATACATGAGTTTGAATGTCTACAGTTTGGGGATGCTAGTGGCATACAGTCACCGGTTTCTTTTGGTGGTTTTGGGAGCTTGACTAGGCACCTGGGGAGATTGACAACTGGTAAAAGTTCATCTGATTTCCATCTATAACATCTTGCCTATACATGAAACCTTCTTTCAAGAAGAAAAGACTAATGACGTATATGTTAACCAGCTTAGCTCTCTTAGTTATTTGACTATATTAATTAAAAATGTGTTAGATTTTTTTAAATGGACGTAAATATTAGGCTCCCGCTAATAGAAAATTAAGATTGCAGACTTCTATTAATGTTGCTTAATTCTAATCATTACATCCTTTAATTGTTATCTTGCCTTCCCCTCCTCGACTTTGACCTGCAAATGAGCTTGTGCGGAGCTATTTTCCCACTTGGAAAAAAATGTGGCTTCTGGTGCACTGATTATTTTTGGTCTTTTACTTTGGGGACAAGGTATATATGAGGCACTTGAAGGCAATTTTCTAGACTCTAAAAGTTTGTCAATGTTGAATCCTTACATGGTGAGTTTTCAGCTGTTACATTGGCACTTGAATAACTCAACTATCACCACACTTATGTATTATGTTCTGCAGCCGAACTTGAGCTCTTCCTGGCTATTTCAAAGGGCAATGTCAGCAAAGAAACAGTCCAACGTTCCACCAGATTTTATCAATGAACTTCTTTTTGCCAATTTCATAAGTATGCAGGTACGTCATCATCATCTTATAAGGAGTTCAAATGCCTTTACATTTTCAGTATAGGATTTTGAGTTCTTTACTCTTTTCTTGTTGTCATCTACTTGCAGAAACTAGGGGATCCTGTCTTGAGACCTTTTCTTCAGGTGAACTATCTTATTGTGGTATATAGTTTCTGTATCTAGTCTAGAACTAATATCCTTTCATCTTAATTGATATAGGATGTTATACAGTTTGGGCCTCTTGTGAAAACACTAGGCCTCATAACGTTAACGAGACCTCAGATTATTCCATCAATATTCAAGCAGGTAAATATGTGGCTGCCTTTTTTATCACTCAATTTTGCACCCCGCATCAAGGAGCAAGGAATTGCTCCTTTTCTTCTATTGTAAATATCATATCCTTAAAAATGTCAATTTTTGGGGAATTTGCACAAATAGCTTCTTTTTTTTAGTGCACTATTTAAATTATGTTTCCGTTAGTCCAATGAGCTAAATCTGGGCAAAAAAGAAAGACGACACCAACTAGTTTCAAAGGAAAATTTTAGCCCACTATGCTTACAGAATACAATTTAAAGAGTAGCCTCAAAAGAAAACTTTTAATGGCCTGACTAGGAGTTCTAGCTTTTAAGTCTAATGCAACAGCCACCATCTTATGCATTGGAGTTAAAAGAAAGACAATATTTCATTTCTCTGTTTTTAGGCTCCTGAGAAGTACTGTTACATTTCACAAAAAAAACTATAGAACTTAACCAGCGGTGAACTTCCTTCTAGTTACTGCCTTTGAGTATCATAACCTCTGAACCTCACAGTTGCGAAAGACGTAGAATTCTGTCATCCAAAAGATCAATACGAGTCACTTCATTCTGAAAATTGTACAATTCTAATATTTCTAGATGTGTAAATAACATTGGGTTGCATATTAGTGAGGAAAACTAAACACCAGATGATTTTTCAGGTCGGAATTCCTGTGCTTCTTGAATGGTTTGGACATTTTATCATGCTGGGATACTATACATTTCTCTCTACCTTCCTCGACCCTACTATTAGGTATTAAGCTTTCGTAATACATAGTTCCAGTTCTTGTGTGATATTTGACAGTAAGCAATTTGATTTCCAATTGCATTGTAACTAGCCACCACCTGACATTTATCATTCTATGTTAGGCCATTGATAGAATCATTTCCAGCCAAGATGAGATACGAATGGAAACGCGGACTTGAAGCTTGGCAATATGGAGCTGGTTTAGACTACAAACTGAGTCCCTCTGAAGCTCACGAGACAGCTAAAAGATCAGATCCTAGTAAAGAAATTTTTAGTACTGACAGCCTAAAATGAAATTTCCTAGTACATTATTTGCAGCAGTAAAGAGTATCAATGTATATCAGTATATGCTATAAATAACCAGCTGCAGTAGCCAGTGATTCAATTCTCACATTACCTTTATTACAGTAAATACCATCATTTTTTTTTTTGCCTACTTGTTTACTGAGTTTTGTTGTGTTTTTTGAATTATTTGTTCTTAACACTTTTTGGAATGCTGTATTCTTCTTGTAGACACGTAATTTTTGACCGAACCTAAAATTTTATACCATTTTTAGAGCTGAAATATTTTTATAAATATAAATTAAATATTTTGACTTTTATCTTATTTTATTAAGCTTATTTTTAAAAGATTTGAAAACAACAGAAATAGAATCACTTTTTTTTTAAGGTAAGTTTTATTTTCAATTGTTTAAAAAAGAATGAAAGATTACAAAAAAAAAAATCTATATTATTTTTAAAATTAAGTTTTTATAAATAAGCTAGTATTTATTTAATTATTTTTTTTAGCTATTTGACTTTTTCTAATTAGTTTTTTATATAGTTAATTATTATTCTCTTAAAATTAAAACTAAAAGTAAAGATAACCTAAATAATATATGCCCCAAAAAAAGAAAAAGAAAGTGCAACATATCAAAGAGCGATGACACTAATTATCAGTGACCTCCTACATAACATATGCGAGCCTTACGTGGACGATTTGGTAGTCTTTTCAAAAGAAAGAACCGACCACATCGAAAATTTACGCAAACCTCCCATACCCCACCACTCCCATATACTCGCCCCTATACTACTATATTCCCACAAAAACTATCAGCAACTAACAGACCCCTATACATACACGACTAAAATTAAATTTAAAAAAAACCCAAAAAAAGAGACCCACACCCCCACGTATCTAAGAAAGAAAACGTTTCCTATATATGTACCACCATCATAATCATAAAAGATACGGAAGAAGAGTGCACACAAAAAAAAAAAAGCAATACACTTTAAGCCAGAAAGATTTTTGTTTGTGGATTCAAGTTCGTGGCTCCTTAAAGTTAATTATAATTAACTTTGAAAATCAGTAGATTATAGCGGTTTCTTTTGTTGGAATTAAGTTTTACGAAAAGGTAATTCTAATTCCTTATATAGTTCAATGAAATAATTGTTCTGAATTCGATTATGATGTTATGAAGTCCTTAAAATTACATGTATTGTTATATGCCACTATTTTATGACGCATATCATATTGTTGATTGCATGAATTGCTACTGTTTAAATTTGCTCATCGAATTATTTTTACACCTGACGTTAATTTAATCAACTAATTTGATCCAAAGATGGTTGTTGTTTACTCCTAGTTTTATTCCAACATGTTTATGTACATTTATTTGATGGTACAAATTGACAACTTCGTTTATGACTTTAATTTAATTACATGTAAATTGGTTAGAGATTCTGTATTAGTTATCATTTAGAGTTTCTGGAGTTTAATAAATAAATAATATTGCCATACTTATGGAGACAATTAATTATTAGAATAATTTTTATCGTATCCGAAATATTAAAAATGGAGGAGATGAACATTAGTTCATTTGAGTGAGTCATTAATTCATCAACGTGAGATAGTTCTTTTATTAGTAATTTCACACTATCATCATTTGGTGAAGAAAAATGATTATATCACTACGTATATTATTTTTCTCTCGATTAGTTTAAAGGAAAAATTAATTAAAAAATAATATATAGAATTAAAAAGAAAACGTGAGCAGAGAAAAATATAATAATAAAAGAAAATAGTGCAGAATAGAAAGATGAAGATAATAAAATAAAAAAAGAGAGGAATAGATCATTAAAAAGAAAGTAAGAATAAAAAAATAAAATAAATAAACATGTATTATAAAAAGCAAAAACAGAAGAAACAAAAGATGAAAAGTGATAAAAAGTAATAATAATTAAAAAAAAATAAAGAAAAGGTAAAATAAAAAAGGGGAAAACAAAACTTAACCAAAAACTATTTAAATGAAAAAAGAAGAGAAACCTTTTGTTAGACAAAAACAAAAAAAAAAAAAAAAAAAAAAAGGGTAAGAAGAAGAAGAAACAAAATGTTAAAAAAAATAAAAAATATAAAAATAAAAACTACAAAAAAATAACGTGCAAGAAATAGAATAAAAAAGAAAAGAAATTTCCAAGAAATTGGTCTTAACCTCTTTAATATTTTCTTTTTCTAAAATTAATCCTAAATCCCATAGAAGTTTACCTCCTATTATAATTCAAATATCTACTCCCACTAAAACGACAATATTAAAATTTCTCGGATTTTAAAAAATCTAAATAAGACAGTTACAATAAATCAGTGAGGGTGGGATATAGGTAAATGTATAGCTAATAAGTACTATATCCAAAAACTAAGTCAGGTCAGGATATAAGTCAATGAAGCGATCGTGCTAGAACCACGAGACTCGAGGGGTGCCTTATACCTTCCCCTTGGTCAATAGAATTTCTTATCCAGATTTTTAGTTCGCAGACTATTAAAAATTAGAGTCAACTTCCTTTTGATTAGGGGTAAAAATTAGGTGACTTGGAACACCAAAACTCAATTCCAAGTGGCGACTCTGAAATAAAATAATCCCTTTTCGAAACGTCACTTTAATTGAAGAAACTCTATTTTTCAAACACTTCGTTTGGGAAAAATAGGGGTGTGACACTTCTCATTAATTTCACTCATCTCAGAAAGTTATGTACCTTTATTTTGTAATATAACAGTCTCTCAACTAATAATGGTCATTATCTAAAAAAAAATGCCACCTAACTATTGTTATTTCAGTCTCAGGTCACTCAAATAATTTAAACTATATTTTTGATAGATTATTAATTTTAGATTAAATTAGTTGAGTTATTTTGTAGATGAAATGGAAATAGTTAGGTGCTTTTGTAAGTGAATGGAAATAATTGGGTGATTTTCTGTTACAAATAAACTCAAAGTACTGAACTCTTTGAGATACTTATCATTAATGGAGCTAATTTTTGTGTCATAAAATAAAATTAAGTGAATATGTTTGACAAAATACCTATATTAATAATTATTTTTATAATGAATATGTCAAATCAAACTGTGATGAGTAGAAGTAAACAGAAATAGGAAGAAACAACTCTCAAATTTAAACACCATAAATTAATGTGGCACAACCTTGTTTGACCCCATCTTATTTTACTCCTCACTTTCTCTTTTACATGTAATTTTTTTAAAAATATTTTGAAAGAAAGAAAATTAAATGTAAAGGTAAAGGACAACTATAATAATATTTACAAGTCTCCTCTTGAACATTCCAGAAAATTAAACTCTCCAGAAACTTGTAGACCATTCACAGGAGAACTATCCTTTGCCTTTTGCTTCAACATCTATATAAACTCCAACTCTCCGATTCCACTAATCATCATAACAAAAATACAATTCTCATTCACATTCTTAAGCTGCTCTACTTACCATCATCAAATCAGAAAAAAAAAATGGCAAAATCAAATGTTGGTGTTATGAGTTTTCTTGTCTTAGCAACGATTCTAGCCATTCTTCCATCAAAAACCCAAGCTTTAATGCCATACACACGCCCATTCTTCGACTTAATGTTCCCACAAGAAGACCCATTTAAGATTCTTGAACAAAACCCACTTACAAGTATTGATCAATCAATGGCCTTATTAGCTCGTTCAGATTGGAAAGAAACATCGAAAGAACACATAATATCACTTGACATTCCTGGGATGAAAAAGGAAGATATCAAGATCGAGGTTGAAGAAAACAGAGTATTGAGAATTAGCGGAGAGAGAAAAACAGAGATGGAGAATATTGAAGGTGAGAAATGGCATAGAGTTGAGAGAACTTCTGGAAAGTTCTGGAGACAGTTTAAGCTTCCAAGGAATGTTGATTTGGAACATATTAAAGCTAATTTAGAAAATGGGGTGTTGAAGATTACTGTACCAAAATTGGCTGAAGAAGAGAAGAAACAGAGTAAAGTGATTAGTATTTATGAAGAAGTAAATGGTGCTGGTGGTGAAGATATTAAAGCTACAATGTGATTATTTTTCATAATCATCATGTGTTTTTGTTTTAATCATGTTGGTTGTTTTGAGTTACTCTTGAGGTTGGGTTAATTGACGTTCTGTAATTAAGCTTACGGAGATGAAGATTATGATAATATAATTGTAAGAGTCTCTGCTTGTCTTATCAATTATGTGACATGTTTTAATATTTGTTCGTTTATCAAAAAACATAGTCTTAATTGGTTGGTATTTTGGGTATGAACTTGGAGTAAAATGTTAAAAACATAATTTAATTTAACTTTAGTTCAATACCTAAATTATTGAAGTATTAGTTACCTATCGGAAATATAACTATTAGTATTAGTTGCAGATCTAAAATATAACTATTATATGTTTGATGTTGGTATGTAGTGATGTTCAAGGTTTAATTTGGATCGATTAAAATTAAATTAATTTAATTGCTTTTTAAATTTTTAAAATTAAATGAAATGAAAGAAGTGATCGTTAATTTAGTTATTAGTTAATAACCATGAACGACCCTATTGGTATGTCCAATACTCTATGTTTTATTTTAAAAAAATGTCATAATATCTAACACCATGCATTTTTTTTTAAGCGTAATATTTTATGAATATATAATTATTCAAAATTGCTGTAATATATATATATATATATATATATATATATATATATATATAATATTATTAAAAATTATTAAAAATTGATAACATTATAATAAGTTAGAGTCATAATTATTCAAAATTGATAACATTATAATAAGTTAAAAAGTTATTCTTATATAAAGTTTTAAGTATGGTAAAAAATGTCATGTATGAAAATTTCTTTTTAATAAATTAATGTATTTTTAAGAAATAAGATTATAATTAATTGTGCTTAATGAGCTATCTTGACTAGGGGAGAGAGGGGATTTGAGGTGATGCCTATAACAATAATAATAATAATTGAGTGATATTTATACTTGGCATAATACATATATTAAATCCTAAACTTGACTTCAAATTTTACTTTGACCTTCAACTTTCATAGTGCACAAACATGCATTTTAATTATTCAACTTTTTAATAAATAAACACGCGAGTCCTAGTTGACAAAACGCGTGATGTGCACTTATTTTGCGCGCGTTAAGAGTAATTTTTGAGGCCCAAAACAGTAAAAAAATACTGAAATCACAACTCTACCCTTAATGAATCCCTTTTTTATACTATTCTTTATATTTCCAAATCAAAATCTCATTTCTTCCTCCTCTTTCAAACCAAGATTTTTTCCTCTCTTTAGAACAATTTGTACTCATATTTAGTGCAAATGACATCTATAATTTTTTGTCATTGTGGAAAAAGAGCTATAATGAAGATTTATTGGTCTGCAAACAATTCAGATCGTTTGTTTCTTGGATGTGAAGATGGTTGGGTATGGTTCCATTTAAGACATCTTTTTTTTTGTTTAAATTTTAGTTCTCAAGATTCAATTTTGATAGCGAATTTGTTCTTCTTAAACAGATGCAAGTTTTTTAGGTGGTTGAACTTGATTATACTGAACACGCTAGAATTGCTATTTCGGGATTACAAAAAAGGATTAAAAAACATGATGAAGAAAAGGAAAAGATTAGGAGGAATTAATTTTGATTCTTGTATATAAATTAAAATTAATTATGATTATTTTTTATTTTTAAAATCGACGTGTAAAATATTTAATTAGTTGACAGCCATTGAGTGGCTCACTAATACACGTTGGAGCGTTTGCATTTCACGCTCTTTGACTGCAAAACTCGCCTGTTTATTTATTTAAAAGTTAGATAGTTAAAATGTCTGTTTGTGCACTATGAAAATTAGAGATCAAAATTAAAATTTAAAGCTAAGTTTAGAGTCCAATATATATATTATGCCTTTATACTTTAATAAAATAAAAATAGTATTTGAATGCAATTTCCAAAACATGAATAATTATTTAGGAAATTAACTCCTTAGAAATAATTCAATTGAGTGTATATTTACCACTGTCACATTAAGAAAACCAGTAGTTTTTCCAACGGCGTCGCATTGTATTTCATTTTATAGCATTAGCGGAGTTATCACGCTCTCTGCAACACTATCATCATTCAAGCAGCTGATACTCAAACATGGCGGAAACTGAAACCCTAGAGTCCTCTCCTCATCCACCTCAACTTTCCGACGACAATCCTACCGGAAACGAAGACCAAGATATGCTCGACGCCGACAAATCCGCTAAAGATTCAGATTCTGATTCTCAGTCCGACTCCGACTCCGATTCAGAAGATGATGCACATCAGAATACACAAATTCAAGCACTTAAAACTGAGCTCTTAAATAACCCTTCCAATTACGACACTCATGTCCAAGTAATTTCTCTTCCTCTACTCATTCACTAAGTTAGTAGGAAGAAAAACGTGTTCCGGAGAATAGTTTCTGTATCGTTTGATAGAAATACAAGCACTGTGTGTCACAAAGGTGTTAATGCATTGATTGCAAGATTGACAATGATGTCTAAAGAGTTGAGATATTAGTAAAGAAATTTTTGAAGGAAAGATTAGATACTACATTCTTACCCTTAAACATAGATGCATCTTTTTGGTGCAATGATTTATCTTAGGTGAATTGCACTTTCTTGTAGTTAAACTTTTGTAGCACTGCCTCAGGGTATGTTCCATTTATAAAACTCATAAAAAAGATTGGTAGAGAGTGAATTTCATCCGTAAGTGAGAAAAGTGATTTTACCATTTTGGCAAAGAACAGTTTCTTTTGATAATGTAAGGTGACATGCCTCGGAGGACAATTTCCTCTACAACAAGCACATCTCAAATGTTCATTAAACTTTGGGTTGACCTGTGGCTGTGATGATAAATGGTTTTTCATTTTCAGAAGCAATGAGCAGTTGGAGTTATTTTCTTTAATTTTTGTAACATATATGTTTGTTAATGTTTTGTTGTGGCTGTGTAGTACATAAAAGCTTTAAGGAAGCAAGGAGATATCCAGAAGCTTAGACAAGCTAGGGAAGCCATGAGTGCTATTTTCCCTTTGAGTTCAGAGATGTGGCAGGAGTGGACAAAAGACGAGATCTCTCTTAGTTCAGGGTATCACTTTTCTTTTTTCTACTGTATTTATTTATTTTTGTTGATAAAATACTGTTTTATTTCTAGATAAATGCTTTTTCTTTGCTGTTTTTTTGGTGGATGTTTGAAGAACTACAAATATTTGTACCATATGGAGGCATCTTTAGTCTGTAGGTTCTTCATAATAGGACAGTGGATAAACGTGAGGGACTGTATAGGTTAGGGCCATAGGAAGGCTAGAAAAGGACAATACAGAAGATCTATGTGGAGCTTATTCAGGATGCATTACATTCTATTGCTCTACTATAGTGAATGCTGCTCCTGTATGCTCAGTTGGATCTCTAAGTAGTGAAGGGAGCAGAACAAATAAGAAGCAGAATGTTTTTTTTTCTGTAAATATCGTATTTTCCTTTCCCAAATAATACTTATCTAGTGGTCACATTTTCTTGCGCTCTCATTTTCACTTTATTGAGAACAAGACTGAAGTCGTCAGCAACATCCAAAGTGGAGATTGGAGATCGCTATGTAGTATGTCCCCAAGCTAAAATAGTGAACACCATTGTCTACTTTGAAACAAGATTTTCTTTTTCCGGGTTAACAATTTGACTTGTGGTCGTCCTACTCAGTATTCTCCATTTTCCGGATGATGTTTGCATAGGTGATTTCCCCTATAACATGCTTGACCTGTCCTGTCTAACTTGTAACTTTTCTTACATGTTCTGCTTTCCTCCGCAGTGGATGATTGCTTTTCTGTTTTTTTTTTTTAAATAATATTTCATTGTATGCACTTGTTTTAAAAAAAAAAAGAAGCACCAGTCTGCTCTTTAAGATAAGCTGAGAGAAAAAAAATAGAAGAACCAGACTAGATGAAGAGGGCATCTCATTGCTTCTTGTATGTATGTTCAGTCACCTTGGATTTATTTATCATTGCTGTTGATTTTTGGATAGCTTAATATTGAAGTTCAAAGGAGAAAAATCGCTGATGGTATCAACACTGGGTATGTTATTGTTGTACTGAAGAAACTGAACGTGTGGAGAAGTCAAAGTGCAGAGTGGATAAGGAACTAGGGAAAAGATTTATGATTTTCCAATCTACAACAGAATATGGATCTTCATTTATTAGAGAACTTTTTTCCTTTTGGAGTTAGCTTTATCATATGAGCCATAGTAGACAAAGGACGGGGAGTAGGTCTGGACAAGGAACAAAAAAGATTCATGGTAGGTGAAGACAAATGGAATGTAAATGGAATGGAGCTTTTTATATGGAGTAATGCTCAAATCTGACTTTTTCTCTAACAAATTTAGATGTTAGATAAAATGACGGGTATGTTTGCACAGGCTGATAGATACGGAAATGACATTGAGTTTATTCTTCCACTATTCATGTAATATGAGTGTTTCTGAGACGCACAGATTCCCTTGATTTATTCATTCTTTTCTCAAATAAACAAACAAACTATTCTGGTGTATATACTTCCCCTGTTTAACTCTGTGACATATAATGAAACAGGAAAAGAAGCCACTTTTGCTGTCTTATATTTTAATTTGCATGTCTTTTTCGCAGGCTCGATGCTCTCCCTACAATTGAGAAGCTATTTGATTGTGGGGTGTCTGACTATCTGGTAAGCAGTGTGTTAAACTTGAAGAGGATTTAGGGTTGAGCCAGGCTCTGGTTCTAGTTTGAAAACACTAATGCTTTCTAGTTGTCCGTGCTATATGCAAGCTGGCTCACTTGGGAGATCCAAAATATAATTGCTTTGTACCTGTGCCTTGTGACTTTAAGATAAGCTAAATTGTTATTGAACCACTTTATTGTTTAAGAGTTGCCTTGTCTTTATTGAAATGAATTTGATGGAAAATCTAGTTATCAAATATTTATTTGTATTGCAAAAGACACGAAAGATACAAGAAGCCAGCCCTTGGTAAAGTAGAACTGTAGAAGAATCTGTGTTAGAAACCTTTCTGTGATTTTGTA